ACGGCAGTATTTTCCCATTCAAGCACGTAAATATAAAATGCAATGTGAGGAAGCATACTGTAATGAGAGAAAAAGTATCTGACGACTATAAACAGTGTGAATGAAATCATGTACATAACACGAGAGATAGATAGATAAATAAATAGATATGATAAATATATAACAAATGAATTAATACATATATACAGTATATGTTTTGGAATACCTAAGCATTTTCTCTACGTTGTAAAACTTTCGTAATTTCGCTAGACAAACAACACACGAATCATACATATCATACTATATAAATAACTCTTATTCCCCCCCCCCAAAAAAAAAAAAAAAAAAAAAAAATGTTCAAGTACACAGTTATTCATTTGTCCATACGTGGTTCCACATACCATTGACTCGAAGCAGAATTTCTAGCAGGGATTGGAACTGACTGGTGATCTGCTTCTTGACTTCTGGACTCGCCGATTCTGGAGAGAGGAGACGGGGGTTGCGGCTTCGGGTTAAAGAGGGTCAGTTGATTTCTTTTTTCTCTGTCTTTATCTCTATACGCACACTTTTATACATATACATAGATATAGATATATAAATAAATATATACATATATATATATATATATATATATATATATATATATGAACATATATATATAGATATATATATACATATATATATATATATATATATATATATATATATATATATATATATATATATATTATACGACTAATAGTGTATATATATAGATATAGATATATAGATACTTCGACTGTTAGTAAGAATAAGTAGGAAAAGACTGATGACTGCACTCACAACTAGAACAGAAAATCCAGGATTATGCTTTGTATTTTGCAAACAAAGAGTGAAAACCTCTCAAAATACACTGGAATAATGAACGCGGTGGTTACTATATATATAGACGCAAGGACATTCATATAAGAAAAAAAAAAAAAAAAAAAGGAATTTGATGAATATTCTCACTTATTATTGTAGCATCTCCAATGGATTGCTGAAGCTTCTGCAAACTGTCCTGAATGACCTGCACTGTAACGTGAAAAAAACTTATCTATTTTAATATGTATGACAAAGTATTCACATTTGCCGTGAGGGAAAGATATACATTACTTTTTCTGTAAGGGGAGAAGATTAGAATTTTATTTATATCAGTTCATTAATACCTAGAAAAATAATTAAGGAGGGTACTTTAATTAACTTAAATAATCAAAATAATACACTTCTTTGTTTTCTAGGAATTAAAATATAAACTCGACTGATGACTTGATTCAACCCAAATTACAAAACGGAAAAAATAACACATTCCAGATCAAAATCAGTCACAAGAGTTAACACAAACAATCCATCAATATCAAAATCTTATTCTTACACTGCTGAGACGCCTGTGAGTCACATCCACAGCACATCACAGCCAAAAACATCACGAGAGAGAAGAGCCATCGCTCGCACTCCGCCATCACTGCTCCCGTCGCCTGGGGATCAGAAGAGAAAAGAAATTCGTGGGTTTTGTTCATTTCACTAAAAAGATGTTTGTGCCATATGTGTACACAGGAGCGAGTATATGCGAACTCACACACAGATGGGTGTATAGGTATATGGATAGAATTAACATATGTGCTTAGATATTTGTGTGTTTTTTGTTCATGTGCCTGTGTATATATATATATATATATATATATATATATATATATATATAATATATATATATATATATATATATATATATATACATACATATATATATATAATATATATATATATATATATATATATATAAATACATACATATATACACATATGTGCATGTACACACATACATGTAATATATATATATATATATATATATATATATATATATATATATATATATATATATACTATATATATGGTGTGTGTGTGTGTGTGTGTGTGTTGTGTGTGTGGTGTGTGTGTGTGTGTGTATGTATGTATGTATGTATGTATGTATGTATATGTTATGTATGTATGTATGTATTATGTATGTATGTATATGTACATGTATATGTACCTATGTATGTATATATGTATATATGCATGTGTATATATGTGTGTATATAAGTGTGTGTATATGTGTGTGTGTGTGTGTGTGTGTGTGTGTGTGTGTGTGTGTGTGTGTATTAATATATATATGTGTTGTGTGTGTGTGTGTGTGTAATTTATATATAATATATATTATATATGTTTGTGTGTTGTGTGTGTGTGTTGTGTGTGTGGTGTGTGTTATTTATATATTATGTATATATATTTTATATTATATATATATTTATACATATATATAAATATATATATATATAATGTATATATATGTATATATATTTTATATATATATATATATATCTATATCTATATATATATATACATATATACATATATATGAACCCAAGTACAAGAAGTGGAAACATGTACACATTTTCTTATCATTCTTTCATCTCCATGGCAACCAAAAATGCATCTAAAATCTTTTTGGATTTCCTCATGTTACGAATACATTTTTGAAATCGAACTCTTCGAACTTTTGAACCGCATACTTTAGAACAAGAAAATCACCAGAAAATCGAAAAGAAATAATCAGATTCGTTTAATTACATAAATAATGACTAAAATGCCGTTAGAGTCATATCCATCTATGAATATTTTCTTTCATTTGAAAACTGTCTTTTATGAGGAAGTGTTGCAACGGGAATACATTAAATACAACATAATACAATAGACTAGGCCTACATCAAATACAATGCAATGAGATCTTAAAAAGGCCACACAAGCTATTTATTTCACGTCATATCACTAATCTATCAAATTCCTTTCATATCTGGTGATTGACCTTTCAAAAAATAATTCTACGTAGCCGATATTATCCGCATTAATACCAATCATACCACTAGTAAACTCACAGACAATCACAAATCAAGTCAAATCTTAAAAAAAAAATGCACATCAGAATATACTTTATGCTTAAAATACTTCTCATATCTGCCTAACCTTGTAACCCTGGAGATGTATCCTCTGCTACGGACCTTGGCATAGTGATTACCTGAGAGATCCACCCAGCCAAGTAACTTCCTCCTACAGGTGCCAAGTACTTATTAAAAGTCCTTGATTTATGTTCGCCATTAATAACAACAATCGGTAGACTTTCAGAATCTCCGTTTCCATTATAGTCTCGGAAAACTGAACAACAATTGGTAGACTTCAGAATCTCCGTTTCAATTATATTTCGGAAACTGAACAACAATTGGTAGACTTCAGAATCTCCGTTTCAATTTACATCTGCAACGGGTCGCTGTTTTAGAAAATCTATTTAGAAATGGTTTAGAAACGGAAGAATATTTAACTATCTGAATGGTTTATGCATTAGTGTGCAAATTCTACTCACCAAATGAAGGGTATTAAAGATCTGACATTTGAAAAATCTAGCAACGATTTAGCAGATGGTATGTCAGATGATGTTCTTGCCCGGGCTGTGAGGTTAACAACGAAAATAGTGCTTTATACTTCGTTCAGAATAAAGCCTTGTTTTTCCCTTTAGATTTTAAAAGATATACGTAACGATATGTACTTTTTCCCTCATACTGCAATCATTTACTGCTGTGGAATACTTCATTCTCTTGTTTTAGCATTCAATTGTTGTATTCGATAAAGTCTAGAATATATGAAAAGAAAAAACGAAAATTGCGTAGGTATGTAATTACTTTAAGATAAAAGGAATGTGGCAACTCTACCGGGGAAATCCTCACACACACACACACACACACACATCACACACACACACACACACACACACACACACACACTCACACACACACACACACAAACACACTCACACACCACACACACACAACACACACACACACACACACACCACACACACACACACCACACACCACACACACACACACACATACACACTCACACACACACTAACACCAACCACAACACAAACACACACACACACACACACACACACACACACAAACACACACACATCACACAAACGCACACACAACGATCTTAATTTCCCCCAAAAAAAAAAATAAAAGACACGAGCATGACCCATACGACACACAACGCATCCCACTGTTTACAATACTACTCCCACATGTCTAATGTTTACTACAAGGTCCCCGTAATCCTCTATATGTATCCTTTGTATTATCCTTTATACTGTGACTTCTTTATGACATGACCTTCTACATGACCTTTGAATGCACGAGTTACTTTTACAGTGCCATGTGGAATTCCCCAGTCTGTGATAGTGCTAACGTATATGTATATTTGCATATATATATGTGTGTGTGTGTGTGTGTGTGTGTGTGTGTGTGTGTTGTGAATATCCAGTCTCATTCATACCTTTTCTACATTTGTCAACATGGATATGTTTATATATATATATATATATATATATAATATATATATATATATTATATATATATATATCTGTGTGTGTGGCGACCCCCCTTACATCCGTGGTTTGGGCTCGATTTATGAAGTCTGAATTCTCCCGGGACTTTTCCCAAGAGTGGCCCGGCCTGTGTCATTTATTTCTAGTTGACTTATGTGCTCGCAAGGTCTATGAATTGGGTGCACGCACAAGCAGTGGCGTGGGGCCGCATAAGGGGTGACCCATGCGTGCACACCCACGAGGAACCACGAATGATGTGGTACATTATGTTATGCAGTATGCTATACAGAGAGAGAAGAATAGAGACAGGCAGAGAAAGAGACTGAAAGAAAAAGGATAAAAAAAAAACGGAGACTGAAATAAAGGAAATAACAGATACAGAAAGAACGAAATAAAGAGAGAGAGAAGAACAAGTAAGTAATCCAGCCGAGAATAAACCAAAAATAAAGGCAATCAAGAAATAAAAGAAAGAAAGAACAACCTTAAAAATCTCGATGCAACAGGTGATTTTGTCCCTGTCATTTACCGCAGTCCCCCCTTCACTCGGCAGAATCGTACCGTGCTCTTTGTTGCCAATGTTTTCCTACTTCGCGAATCGTGTGTTGACTCCGGGAATGACGTTCCGCTTTGGATAAAAAGTGTTACTTATCTTCCTCTGATACAGAGTGGCCTAATATTTTTATGTACTTAGGGGTGGTTCACAATTTTCATTTTTTCACAATGGTTCAAAACATACACTTTTTTATTACAAATCTTCATGTTATAAAACATACATTTTTTGGCTACCCCCTGTTTATTTTTGCAGTAGAAATCACAAGAGTCTCATAGTGTGGAAATATTTTCCATGCGTAAGAAGAGCCCCAGGTGGATTATACAGCGTGTGTCATAAAAAAGATTAACTTTTTTTAACGTATACTAGTTTCTTACTTTTTTTTTCTTTTCTTTTTTAAGCGTACACTAGTCTCTTACCCCCCCCCCTCCTCCCAGTGTGCGGCTTGTACGTTTGTGAAAAGGTTGAAAATCGTGAACTACCCTTTACATATACGCCTATACATACACACATACAATTGATTGATTCATCCATCCATACATGTATATATCCGTTCCATCATCCATTACAAGCCATCCATTCATCCATCAATCCACACACACACACACCCATCCATCCATTCATGCATCGATTTATCCACCAACCCACCTATCCATACCCCATTCCATTCACCATCCACCATTCATCCCTATCATCACCCATCATCACATTATCCACCCACTCACCCACCAGTCACATCCACCCACCATCTATCCATCCATCCACCACCATTCATTCACCATCATCATCCATCCATCCACCACCAATCTACCATCCTCCATCACCATTCCACCTCCCACCACCCCCATCCTATCCATCCACCCACCCACCCACACACCCATTCATCCATCCCTCCACCCATCTATCCACCCACCCACTCACCTATCCATCCATCCACCCACCCCCATTCACTCATTCATCCACTCACTCACCCACCCATCAATCCATCCACCCAATCATTCATTCATTACTTCCGCCAAGGAGGTTGTTTTTGGCAGCCTTGGTTAGTTAGTTTGTTTATTTTTTATTTATTTTTTTTGTAATAGAATAACTCAAAAAAAGTTATGGACAGATTCTTTAAGAAATTTTAACCAGATGAGTATCTTAACCTAAGTTAGACGCCATTAAATTTTGGTGGTAATCCGGAATTTTTAAAAATTATTGTATGTTACGTCTAATACCTTGTTAATAGGGGTAACTATGGTTATTATTATGTTATTATTTCCTACTTAGATTTTCGTCGTAATCCGGAATTTTAGAAATGATTGCACGTTTCCTTAGCAATTGGGGTAACTATTGTTATTATTGTGTTATTATCTTCAGGAAAGTTTTGTTCAAGGACGACGCCTGTGTGCTTGAGAAATAGTGATGATTTTTATCGTAATTCTTCAAGTGGGAATATTTTCATTGCATTAGTGATCCTATTGCCCTGGAGGTGTTCGTCTATGAGTTCTTCAAGTTCATCCATCCATCCACTCACTCACCCATCCACCCATGTATCCCATCCCATCCTTTCATCCACATCCATCCACTCATCACCTCACCTATCCATCCTCCCTCATCCACACCACCCATTCATCCATCCATCCACCCACTCATCCTCTACCCACCACCTATCCATCCACCATTCATCCACTTACTCACCCACCCACCCACCACCCTTGCATCTATCCAACCATCCTTTCAGAGAGAGAGAGAGAGAGAGAGAGAGAGAGAGAGAGAGAGAGAGAGAAGAGAGGAGAGAGAGAGAGAGAGAGAGAGAGAAGAGAGGAGAGAGAGAGAGAGAGAGAGAGAAGAGAGAGAGAGAGAGAGAGAGAGAGAGAGAGAGAAGACAGAGAAGAGAAAGTAGAAAAAGAGAGGCAGCCATGTACTTGAATCTTCGAGAAAGTCAAAAGGAAATTAAAAGGAAAAAAGGATACAAGTAATACAAAATTGTTAACAAGTAATACGAATTTTGTGATTGACAACATTTGATAAATCTCATAATTTCCTACATTTATTATATATTTGAGAAATCTCCAGAAATATCGTCATATCTGTGTATATATTGCGTCAGAAATGAATTCATATTTCCCATTCTCTATGATAACACTTCATTCGATTGCTATCCATACGACTTCGGATTAAACTTCTCTCCATTCAGCGAAATCATAACCTTCAACCCAAACCTCACAGATAAAGCCTTAAAAGATCACAAAAGATTATAAATCAAATATGCTGATAATTTTGATTTCAGGAAAAGATGAATATAACTATGACACTCACAGATAGCGCTAACCAACCCGAAGTCGAAGCCACATTCAAAGATCGGGAAACAGCCACCTCTATATAGCCTGCCCTTCGTCTGCAAAACATTTCAGACCAAATTTTCTTGAGGCAAATTAACTTTCGTGAGTTTTGTGAGTATCCTCATTTTATTCTCTAATTCTGAATGGAGTTGTGGGTTCAAGTACCTCAGAGCCGTCGGGAAATAAAGGTTATTAACAGTGTCAGTACGTATTTTTGAAGAGAATTGAAGGTGGAGTTAACAGAGGCTCCAGCAGTGGTTCTCGACCTTTTTCTCATTCTTTATCATCATCTTACGTAATTCTGCAATATTCGTGATGATCTCTATGGCCTCGTTCTGTGTCTGTCATCTGTTTAGATTCAGTTATTACTAGGTAGATCAATTATGAGTAGGGAATTGGTGACAATGCTTATAGCTCAAGAACATTCTATGGTAAGACTTCAAGTTGTTGTTATGTGAGAGAGAAATATCTGTTGGTACTGTTGAAGAGACAAAATACAGTTTATTTCGGTTAAAATTATCAGATTGCGTTAATTTTTCAGAATAGTTGATTGTAACAGATCACGACTATTTTGGTATTGGTGGATTCTAACTCTCTAGTTTACAAATATATATAAATATTGCAGATTGCATGGAAACCTCCACATTCTTAGCCCCAATAGCAGGGGAGGGCATGAAAGGTACCAGGGAAATTGTGGGGAAAAATGAAAAATATACTCTGAATTTGACACGATATTGCCTAATGCAAGGGGATGTGATTCCTACAACTCCCCCAAAGGATTGCTACCGTTCCCCGACCCCTGCCCAGGAAAACAAAGAATCCTACTCATAATCACGGCAGGAGAGAATGTCGGACAGACTAGGCAGTATACTCTCTCCTGCCGTGAATACATGGAGGATTCTTTGTGTTCCGTTGCGTGAATTAGAGAGTGAGAGGAATATTTATATCAACATTGTCACAGTCCATGACTAGCTGCTATTCTGAATAATTCCCCATATTGCTGCATGACCCCACAGAAAGTATTCCATGGCCCCTTGGTTGGGGAGTCCGCTGCTAGAGATGGACTATATTTTTGGCTGTTGGAGTTACTGTATTCATATTTTCTCCTTTTTCTTCTTTTTCTTTCTTATTCTTCCTCCTCCTTATTTTTCTTCCTTATTTTTCTTCTTTTCTATTCTCTTATTCCATTCTATTTCTTCTTCTCCATTTCTTGTTCTTCTGCTTCTTTCTTTTACTTTTTTTTCTGCTTCTATTAAATTTTCTCTTCTATTTCTACTTCTCCTGTTTCTTCTTCCACAACTCCATCTTCTTTTATATTTTTTCAGGATTGTAGGAGTGGCATGTAGGTTTTTAAATAACTTGTGAATGTTTTAGGCCTATAAATATTTACCAAAAAGTTTAATCCCATGTGGTGTATATCCATTTTCATTTAGACTCGGCTCTTATCCCTTTCCTAAACTGATTCTGGTTCCAGGGTCAGAAAAAGCTAATGTAACTGGGGCTGAATTTCTTGGCTTGATAGGCCTATGCACTTTATGTTATTCCTTCCATATTATATGAGTTTGATTCTCATTGAAATCGTGGATGAGAATGACCAGTTTTATGTGGGGAGAGGCAAAAGTACCCAGCACCTTTGTAGTACATAATCACTGTTCCTGGTAGAATTTAACTTAATATAAGTTACAATAATTAAATCTAAATACAGTTTTAGGTACATGTTTTGAATTATAAAACATGTATAATCCTTATACTTTACACAATATCTGGAATACTGATCACATGCTATGATGCTGGAAGACTTTTGCCTCACCCAATAGACTTAATTTAGAAATTGTTTTTCATTTCTTATTATAATTGTATTTAATATATACTATTTATTTTATTTATTTTGAAGGTTAAATGTAAATTATAATAAGAAATAGTGGACAGATGTTGGATTCTGCTTAGCCTTTTTTACAGCCTATATATTGCAAATTGTTGGGGTCCTGATTCCTATAGGCCCTAGATGATTTGATTGACAAGCACTAGAACAGAACGAGGGTGCTGGAGCTCACTGTGTAACTGATAGCATATTTAACACTTGCCGTAATTTTTGATAGGTATATGTTTGATAAGTTATAGAGTTTGTATAGAACAGTGGTGTTAATTGTGTTGATTTTTAAAATAATTTATGTCAGTGAGTTTTGTTATCAAGAAGCTCTTACAAAAATATTTATTTAGGAGGATGGGAACCTATGAAGATAATTGTTCTGTAATTACGTACATTACTTCTGATGCTTGGGGTGATGGTAGTTTTTTTTTTTCATGAAAATTGAAGAAATGGGGTGGAGTCTGGCAAGCCAGTCATTGATTCCTCTGGGACAGCACTTGTGGACCTAATTTTAGTAAAAGAAAGAAGGGTAGAAAAAAGAATTTGAAGCAAAACCATAATGGACAGTGTACTTTCTGAACCGTATTCATGTTGACAAATGTAGAAAAGGTTTGAATGAGAATGAATATCTTCGCAATACAAGAGATATATTTTACTGGTTTTGAATATATAAAAGTTGTATCAAATATAACTTATGACAAAGTTATATTTGAAACCATTTAAATATATGTATTGTATTATGAAGATATTCATTCTCATTCATACCTTTTCTATGGTGCACTTTCTATGCATCAGTGGTTTAAATGGGAAAATGTTTTGTGTTTTTTTCAAGAAGTTGCAGCTTTCCTGTTGAATGTATTAAGGAAATTGGCTCCCTAGCAAAAACTAAGGAATGCTACTGGGATATTAGATATTCAGATTACTTTTAAATAAGTAATTGGTTACAAACAGGTGAAGATCAGAAAAAAAGAACATTAATGTAGACTGTGCATGTTACCCTCATTTACTTGTCTATCAGATCAGCCGGCGAGATGGTGCTCGTGAGGATGACCCGTTCCGTCCCTCGCTTGCTGCGCTTGGCCCGCACCTCCGCCCATCGAGCCAACCACCTCCCTCTGGCCCCCGTATGTTCACGCTGTGTCCATAGGGGTCCCTTTGGAGGCAGTGATCCTTTTGCGAAGATGGAGGACTTCATGAGAGACATGGAGAGGAAGTTCAAGAGGGATATTGAGGACACTGTCAGTGCTATTACTAAAGAGGTAAGTTCGAATGTGAATTTCATTGTGTTGTGTATTAGTGTAATACTTTATATGTGTATTTCTTTATTCTTTAAATTGGACCAGCTGTATATTTGGTATGTGTGTGTAGGAGATAAGATAGATGTTGAAAATACAAAGTTATTGTTATATCCTTTTTTGCTGTTTCATTTGTTTTTCCTCTTCCATAAAGTCATGTCCCATCACTGTTCTTTCTTGTCATTCTTTTACTCAGTATTTTGGTCTTCCTCCCCTTTGTCTTTTACTGTCTTTGCCACATCTTTCTCTTTTACCTCTCTCCTTTAATTTTTTCTTCCTGCTTCTTTTATTTCTTCTCTTCCTCTTCCTGGTCCTCTTCCTCCCCTCCTCCTCTCCATCTCTTTCCTTCCTCCTCCTCCCCTCCTCCTCTCCATCTCTTCCCTTCCTCTCCTCCTTCCTCCTTCTCTTCCTCCTCCCCTCTTCCTCCTCCCCCTCTTCCTCTCTTCCTCTTCCTCCTCCTCCTCCTCCTCCTCCTCCTCCTCCTCTTCCTCTTCCTCCTTCCTCCTCTTCCTCTTCCTCCTCTTCCTCCTCTTCCCTTCCTCCTCCTCCTCTCCTCCCCTTCCTCTTCCCCTCCTTTCCTTCTCCTCTTCCCTTCCTCCTATCCTCCTCCTTCCTCCTCTCCTCCTCCTCCTCCCTCCCTTCTTCCCTCCTTTCCTCCACCTCTTCCCCTCCTCCTATCATCCTCCTCCACAAAACCTTCCTCCTCCTCCTCCTCCTCCTCTCTCCTCCTCCTCCTCCTCCCCTCCTCCTCCTCCTCCTCCCTTCCTCCTCCTCCTCCTCCCCTCCTCCTCCTCCTTCCTCCTCTCCTCCTCCTCTCTCCTCCTCCTCCTCCTCCTCCTCCCCCTCCCTTCCTTCCTCCTCCTCCTCCTCCTCCCCTTCCCTCTCCCCTCCTCTTATCCTCCTCCTCCACAATTCTTCCCCTCCTCCTCCCCTTCTTCCTCCTCCTCCTAATCCTAATCCTAATTCTCCTCACCTTCCTCCTCCTCCTCCTCCTGCTTCTTCTCTTTCTCTGTTACCCCTACTGCTTCACTCCTCCCATTTCTATTACTGTATTCCTCATTCTATATATGGTAAATAAGCCATTCAAACCAAGCAAAGCACACTAAGGCATGCGCTCACTTCCCCAGGTGCCACAAGGCCTGATTCCCCGCTTGTGGGACGTTACGCCACGCCCTAGGTTTGGAGATGTCAAAAACCTGTCCACCCCCGAGACGTACAAGCTCGCCTTCTACTTCAAAAATGCCAATCCAGAAGACGTGACGGTATCGTTGAAGGGTGAGTTTTGGAAGAGTGAAAGAGTTTTGTTGTTTTTATTTGTTTTTGTTATTATCATTATTTTATTGATATTGTTATTATTATTAGTAGTAGTAGTATTAGTAAAAGTTGTAATAGTAGGAATTGTAGTAGTAGGAAGTTTTAGTCTATAAGATTTCATTGATATTAGACACTACAGTTCTCCATGCATTTCTGGTTAGCAGTGTTAGTATATTTAAAAATTTGGAATCCCATCATATTTTTATGCATAGTTTTTATCCTTTTTATATTCATGTATACATATTCATATTTTTTATATACAGTTTTCAGTGCTGTAATGTACTAGGACAATTTTTATTTTGTTTTTATTTTTTCTTACATTTGAAAAAGAAATGTTTAAAAAGAATGAACTTGAATCTATATCGGTATAAATCAAAAGCATATTATCATAGTAAAGATATTTTAAACAGAATCTTCATAGATATTTCCTTTGGTTATCAAGCATAGAATTTTGATATTTTCTCTGTTCATACAAAATAGGATTTCTGTATTTGCCAAACATTCAAACATTACTACCATTTCAATCACTTTCAGACCGCACCCTGACAGTATCAGCCAAGATTGAGGAAACGACCGAGTTCTCCCGATCTTCGCAGAATTTCACTTCTCAGTATGACCTACCCGAGGGCCTAAACCTTGATGCGTTGGAGTCCACCATGGCGGATGATGGCGTGTTAACCATCGAGGCTCCACAAATAGTGCAAGAAGAAACGAAAGGTCCCAAGAGCATTCACATTCAAAGGGAATGATTTGTACTGTAAATATTTTCTTGGTTTTGTTAGTAGGGATGTATAATATTGAAAGAAATAGGGAGTGTAAAATAGTTTAAAGTTTTAAATCATGCCTAGAAATGGGATATGTTGTATATGTTGATATACATGTAGAGGAAAATATACTGTAGTAGAGGGTATAAGTATAGACATTACAATATATTTCAGTTGAAGTATTAGAAGCATTTATGTTCTATTCATAGGAAATTTGATTAAGATATTGTTACATTATCATAAGCTAAAACAAGAATTTCTTTATATCATATGGCTGTGTTTATCTTCAAAACTTGTTTATATTTTTGAAATAGATTAAAGATAAAAAGAGAATAATTTTTTTTTCCCCATTTTTTAGTATATGTTTGTCAGTAGAAAACTTTGTGAAATTTCTATATACCAGAGTAGGACTCCAATTTACAGAATGTATTATTAAATTTTTCATTGTATATTTCATTTTGTCAATATTATTGCTTATATTATGCACAGGAAAAATTCTCCATTGATACAAGAGGCAGTACCTGAGTGGGGAAACGTTGCAAAATCGCAAATCAAAACTGGCATAGATAGAGATGTTAAAGATGGAAAAATCACACGCAAATTGTCAAAGTTCAGGAGCTCAGTTCCCAGTTTTGACACAAAATAAGCATGCCCAAGAAGTACCTGATCTGCTAACCCTGTAAAACCATATTTTCCTATGATATAAGCAGTGATGATTCTTCATGAAACCAATATTTATTTTCAAAATACAAAAATATGATTATAATTGATACAAGAAGTTGATCTTCATAGCAAAATATAATAGAAAAGGATATGTAGAGCAAAATACCATATACTTTTATTTTTAAAAACTTTTGATAAAGAAAGCTATAAATAAAAGTTTTCTAGTGTGTATTTGTTAGATAATGTGGGAAATGAAGCATCATTAGGAAACTAAGAAAAATATTTCAGAATTGCAGATGGTTGATTTTTGTGATCATTATCTGTCATATTGCAAATACCTGCATTGGTTATAGAGACTGAAAACTAAATATTGTTGAGTTTAAAGATACTTGAAGTTTTCAACATATTTCAAATAGAGGATAATTGAGTAGAAGCCTTTTTTTCAGAATTTACTTACTAACTATATCTGCGGAATTACTTACAACTGATAATGCCATGATTATGACTATGAAACTGATATTGTGCAAGCCTACTCTTAAATTTCCTACAAAAAACTGGTATGAAACTTGTAAACCCATCTAAGGTAAAAAGCTAGCATAACTTAAAGGTCTTAAAATCATCAGTATTAATAGGATAATGTAAATATTGGCTCTATTAATTATCTTGTAAAATTGCCAACTGTACCCATGATATCTAAGATGAGACTGTACTCAAAGATAATGATTCATTACATTATCTATACACAAATGAGTCTAACCTCCTTCAAGCTGCTCTCCATTTAATTTGGGTCATGTCTCAACATTTTCCCCAAAGTCAGAAACATTTCGTTGACTCTTCTCTGCGGATTTTATCACTACAAGGCCTCCAGTGCTTTGTTTCACCTCAATGCCAGCAGCAAAATTTCAGTGGACAGAAAAGTCACATAGAGCACATAGTTTACTAAATATGGTGGACAAAGTATTTGGCCTCAGACAATGTGGCTTGTATGTGACTATTTGGGAGAGAGGGAGTATGATTTAGAAAAGATAAGTTCTGTTGCATTATATGAGTGTCTTTTAAGGTGGGTAGGTCTCAACTTGTTTTAAGGAATTGTTTAAACACAATCTATGAAGTTTACATCAGTGGCTATTGAACTTTCTTGTGCAGTGGATGCCAAAACCTGAAAGTAAACAGTAAAATCCTTTTCTAAAACAAGTATTTGTACTTTGATGATTTTTTTTTTTTTTTTTTTTTGTCAAACAGGAATTATGCATTGTTTTCTTCTGCTTGTCTTTCTTTTCCTCCTCCTTTTGCTATTCCCTACATTCCCGTAATCATACTTAGGAGAAGAATAGAGCAAAGCATGAATTCTGAAAATTTACAAGACAAAAAATCTTGTTTATGGCCAGTTTTCAAATACAAGTGATTTACCTACTTATGTAATGAAACTTTTGTATGATATATGATCTAATTTTTTTTTCTTTTTTTGGGGGGAGGGGAGAGAATGAAGATGCACTTGATTAATTGATGATGATTGATGACAGATTGATAAGTTTGTCAGGTTAATATGATGATTATTTGTTGACATAATGATGACTGTTTGAAATATAGCAGTGTAATATGGATGTATATGTTTTATTCAGTCATTTATTACCTACCTCTCAAGTCCATCTTCCACTTCTTACTAATGATGATAATGATAATGATGGTAACAAAATTAAAAAATAATTATGATAATAGTCATAATGAACACAACTGAGTGATATAAGGGAAGAAGAGCCGACTATGAATCTATTTGATATTCAAAAGTATTTATGTATGTGGAGGACACTTGGTCTGGTTCAGTGAGATTTATGAAAGATAGCTTTTCCCAGGTTTTCAATTGGGTGTCCCAACAATATGAACAAAGTTATGTTCACCATGGGGTTGGATTCATAACCCTCTCTATTTTGGCAGAGCAGTGATTTTTCCACCAGAAATTTTTAAAACCCATCCAGGGAAAAAGTGAGGTGGGAAGAAAGTCCCCGGCAGCAGAACAGGTCAAATAGAAAGTTTAGTGGTCTTCACACCGATCTTTCACTTAAGGAAATGGCACATATTTTGGAGCTTCAGACTTGTAGTGTGGGAATATGGTGCTCAAACTCTTCCACTTTTCCATAAGGAGCTACACCTAACCCCCCTTTCGCATAATTCTGGATCAAGTCCTGCACAGATCATATAGGTATTTAGATTTAGCATCTATGCAATAATAGATATAATTTACTGTGAACAACTTGCTGTATACTGTAATTATATTAAAGATTCATCGATATATGATTCATCAGGTGTTATTCACTCACACTGACAGACATGAATACTCAGATATATGTATGTGTGTGTGAGGCTTGATTTATGTATAAGCAATGCAAGTTTATTCCAAGGCCTTGCATTTCAAGGGGTGTCCAAATGTTGATGGCCTTTTAGAATACATTGTGCACTGCATTAATATTAGCAACAGTAGTAGTAGTAGTATGGCATACCCCCGCCCCAAGGACCACATTTTAACAATTGATTAAATTTGGTTACAGACAAACACAAAGCAGAATATACTACTGCAGCAATGTTTGACTTTTGCAGATTCCTCAATCACATCCTAACAATTAGACTGATTAGGCCATTTTGCTGTCCCAGCCGGTTCATAATTCTCTCTCTCTCTCTCTGTCTCTCTATCTATCTCTATCTGTCTCTCTCTCTATCTCTCTATCTCTGTCTGTCTCTGTCTCTATTTCTCTCCATCTATCTATCTATCTCTGCCTCTCTCTTTCTCTGCCTTGCTTTCGTTCTGGAACCAGAAAAAACGATGCCAACATGATGGTTCTTTTGCTGCAGTATTTATAAGATTAGGATTCATTATAGGGCCTTTCTTGCTGCTTTGACCTCTCTGTCAGACTCCAGAAGTGCAGCATGTCTTGAAGCACCTGGTCTCAAGTCAAATATGGAAATTTATAGTTTGCCTTACTAATGTAATCAGCTACAATAGAAGCACATGCCTTAGCCAAAAAAAAGAAAAGAAAAAAGAAGGAATTAATGTTCCAGTAAATGTAAGTGTGGGCACTGGTCGCAGCAAGAGAGGGCAACAGATAGCAAACAATACGACAGGCTGTTTGACCAGCAGTGACCTCGGGAAGCAACAGTTACACTGGTCAGGAAATCAGTCTAAAGCAACAGTTGAAGTCACGGTTTTAATTTTCTGTAATTGATGGATGCATTGCTGAGTATGACTTGGTTTAACAAGAACTTTTTTCAGCTTTGTCTTAATTCGATTTCGATTCAAAGCAGCTCCTTGATGAAGAATGATTAACAATGTTTTCTATTACATCATGCACAGTCAGTGCTGTTGGCTTCCCAGGTACATCTAGCCATCTCTGGTGCTACTGCCGATTTTTTTTTTTTTTTTTTTTTTTGTATTCTGATCTATCTGAGAATTACAGAGATGAGCGTCTTTGTACTTGTTAATGGCCAGTGAAGAGATTTTAAACAAATGATTAATTTAGTTGAATTCATTTGTTATGTAGTCATTCCAGTCGTGACAGGTTGTTTGTTTCTAGTTAGTCTTAAATAACCCCTGTGTGCAAGGAAAGGCCGGGGTTACCATGTTATCTAAAAAAAATTATGATGTTCCACGATAGTGTAGAGTGATTGTTAATCCAATAGGATAGATTTTGTTATTAGTCTTGATTTTTCTTTTTCGCCCAAAATTACACCAATATAGCTCAGATTATACCTTAAAAAAATCTTAGAATAGGTCATTTTCTCAAAATATTGGCAAATTTGTTCCACTCTTGTTAGTATTTATATAATCATTATTCTTTGAAGACAAGAATATTCTTTTACACATAACTCAATAAAACTTGTACATATTGGTATTATTGTTTTTATTTTTTCTTTTTTTATATAGATAAATATATCGACAGAAAATAAGCCTGGCCTCGAGCTAGACGGTCTGAGAGGCCATACAATTAAGTAAGCAGACATATATTGCATCCGAATGAGAAAGCAAAAAAAAAAAAAAAAAAAAAAAAAAAATCAATGCATTACATTATTCTTCTACATATTACATTCTCAATCTTTATCAGCTATTGTTAAGGCGTCTTTTTTTCTGATTTCTGATTTTAGTGACCGTCATTCAAACGGCAAATCATGTACACATTTATATTTGCATTCATTTGCATCAGGGAAATAGAAGACTAAAAAAAAAACAGCATATATAAACATAGATATATACAAATATACAGACACAGATATCTAGAAAGATAAAATAGATGGGTAGACAAAAAAAAAAAAAAAAAAAAAAAAAAATATATTATATATATATATATATATATATATATATATATATATATATATATATATATATATATATATTATACATATACACACACAACCACACGCACGCAAATGCATATACATAAGTATACAAGCATGTGCATACATGTTTACATACATATCTCATTTATTTCTCCGAAAGTCCAATTATTCCCTGAGATGCAAATTGCAGTCGATTAATTCCTCTTATTCCTCTTGCACCTCGTACGTTATATATTCCAGTTTTCCTCTACTCACTTATTTCGAAGATGCGTTGCCGTCGTTCTAATTTTAGCTTTATTTCACGTGGGAAGTCGTCGGAGTCGATTGAAAGCGGGGTATCAAAC